CTTGTGCAGCCTCCTGTGGGTACCATCACTCCATGGGTTCCCCTCTGTTTCCACATGTGTCTCCCCCACTGAATCACCGAGCTGCCTAGGACAGAGCCTGAGTGCTGCTCCCTTTTGTGACCACACAAGGGAGCTCAGGAGTTGCCTGGAGAACTGAGATCCACATGGGGCTTGCTGGGTGCCACTTGCAAGCTCAGTGCCACCACAGGCTCTGGTGATAGATAGGGACAGACCATCTCCAAAGTCTGGGGCCCCTGAGGATCCTGTAATGGTCATGAGGTCACAGCCCAGCCTCCATTCCAAGGATCCTGCTGCCACCCGAAATGTGCCCCTACATAGATGCAGGAGTTGAGCTCTCACCCTGAACCCCAGCCCTAGCATGACAGAAGGACTGTTTGTTGAGTTAGTCTGGCATGCTGGTCCACAGGCAGGCTCTGTTCGCAGGCCACTTTCTTGGTCTTATGTAACAGGCACCAGCACCCCTTTTGCAGATGAAACTGAGGTTCCAAGAGGGAATCACTCAGCAAGTGCCTCAGCTGGGGCCTGGGAGAAGGAGCTGGATCTGTGTGGAGCAGAGGGTGGGGACACAGCCACAGAGAGCCAGGCAGCGTCCATCCCCTGGGCTCCAGTCCCAGGACCAGCACCTCCCCTCAAAGCTCTCATTCCAAAGGAGTGAGCTTCTCTTCCTGCTCCCCTTGCCCTTTGTCTTTATGTTGAAGTTCCTCAAAGGGAAGTCCCAGCGCCCCAGGCTGAGGCCCTGCCTAGACGTGGACGGAGGCAGGGAGCTGCGAAAGTGCCTGAGAGTTCGAGGAGCTGTGAACGGCTCTCTGTGGACTCGCCGTGCATGGGCAGGGAGCCATGTGGTGCAGAGGCTGGTGAGGTGGGCTTCAGTTTGGGGGAGCCATGCAGAGGCGGGCTTGCTCCATTGCCCTCCAGGAAAAAGTCCCCCAATGGCTGCACAGCTGGTGGACTGGTGGGTGACCCTGTGTCTTCCGTGGATCAATCACCAGCTTTTCCCTCTTCTCTCCAAGAAGTGTCACCTCCCTGGCTGAGGCCAGGAGTAGTAGCCTGCAATCTACCTCCAGTGCACAGCACCCTGGACACCAAATCTGGACTCCTGTGCTCCCCTTGGGGGCTGGGCTACCTCACCCCCAGGCAGCCTCTGCCCACGAACCCGTGTGATGTTGCCATACAGAAAAACATACAAGAAGCACAGGCCCAGCCATATGTGACATTTGCTCTCGTCATAGAAAGTGAACACAGTCCCAGAAGGCCAGGGAGGCTGTGCTGGCAGCAATTCCGAGACTCAGAGATGAAAAACACATGAAAAAATGAGGCAGGAAAGAAGGGCCCAACATTCCCCAAGAGGTCTTTTTCTTTTTCTTCCACAGCTGCCCCAAGCACCTTGGAGTCAGGCAGCTACATCAGGCACCCAGGGCTGCAACAGGGGCTGTTTGCTCTGGCTCCAGCAGGCTTCATTGGAACACCTGTCTGAGGACTCCACCCCGCAGTCCCCTGGATGACTCTGACCCTTTGCAGCCTCCTTAATCAGCTCCATGGAGGCTCCTCCCCAGCCCAGGGCCAAACAGGAAGCCTGACGCTGCACATGCATGAGCCCACCTTTTTCCTTTATAAGCAATCTCTGCATGTCCTTAGCAGGTTCAGCCCATGTATCATTCCCTGATATCCTGCAGCGGAATCCTCGTAAAGCCCCTTCTGGATGGCATGTTCTTGCCTACTCGTGATTTCTATCTTAAGTAGAGCATACTGAGCTGGTTCATTAAGAGCTGATACCACAGTGGGTGGAGCTATAATGCTGAAGCCACAAGTAGCCAGGGCTGGCAACACTGAAGGCATCGGAACAGTAGAGAATGGTGGAAAACAAGGAAGAATCACAGGAGCCACCATCTCCTGTGGCCAGAAGAGGTTCTGAGCCCTTCTGATGGCTGCTTGCTCTGAGAACAAGGAGGGGTTACAGACACTAAAAGTGCTGATAGCCCAGCATTCAAAGCTAACATTGAAAGAGCTACACTGTGCCTGTTGTGATTTCTATGCACATTGAGCAGGCGGGACCCCCCCCCCAATCCCACCAGCCAAATGGTAACATCTCGGAAGCACACACAGGAACCTTCTTGAGAACTTCAATGGGCTTTGAAGAAAAGGGATGACAAAAGTGACAGTCACTGGCAGGCTCTGATTTCCATCTTATGTGCGGTTAAGAACCCACGCTAGCCAGTGACATAATCACATAACTTTGTGACCTTGTTGCAAAAAGCTTTAATCAGAGGGCTTTGAGCCCTTTGAAAATCATGCATTTGGGCCAGGGATTTAGCTCAGTGGTTTCACCGCCTGCTGCGCAAGCTCAAGGGCCCGAGTTCAATCCCTGGTACCAAAAAAAAAAAATCATGCATTTGATTTAGGGAACATCAGTCAATGAGCCCTCTCCAAGAAGAGTCATCTACACACTCAGGGAAGCTCTGTGAGGGGCTGAGTGGGTGCCCCACAGGGTTTGGCACAGGCATGGGCTGCCTTCCGGGGAGCCTCAGGGACAGTGACACTCTCCAGGGTCAACAGCAGAAAATGTCACCACTTCTGGCTTTGAAGAGGCAAAAAGTAGAGAAAGGGAAGTCTGTAGCCATGGGAGGAACTCGCAGGTGGGAGCTGTGGCCAAGGAAGAGGAGCCGGACATTTGCAGAAGCCAGTCCCACAGGCAGAGGAAGGAAGAAGTGTCCTGAGTGCTCTCATCCCGCTCTGTGCTCCTGCTGGGGCCTCCCATTGGCTGAATCTGACAGGAAGTCAGAGGCCAAGAGCCTGGGGCCCTCCCCTGAAGGTCAGTCTTCCAGGCCACAGGTGGGAAAGGCAGTGCATGAGTCTGAGAATGGCAGATAGTGGACTATGGCTGAAACCAGGAGCCCCAATCCACCTCTCCTTTAAATTGTGGATATGTGGTATAGTGTTTCACCAACAAGAAAGTAAAAAGACAAGGCAATTAAGGTAAACTAGGGCAATAGTGTGGCCCTAATCCAACAGGAGTGGTGTCCTTATGACAAGAGGAAATCTGGACCCAGAGACACACACAGGGAGAGCACAGGGGACGGTGAGGCAGAGAGCTACAAGCCAAGGAAGGACTGCAGCCACCACCGGGAGCTGGGGAGGCCAGGGCAGATCCTCCCTCACAGCCTTGGAAGAGGACAGCCTGGCACAGGGGCCTGGCGGAGGAGAGCTGCTCATGGCATGGGGCACAGGAAGCAGAGAAGGGAGGGGCCAGGAGAGAGACAAAACCTTCCAGGCCACACCCACCAGGCTCCACCTCCTAACCGCAAGTCAGCTGATCTATAAGCCCTGTAATTCAATCGCCTTCCAAAAGCCCCACCTATGAGCACATGAGGCTCTTGGGGGACATCTAGATAGAAACCATAATATAGCTCTTTAATGATCTGGTCTCCGAATGAGATTACATTCTGATTTACTGAAGCTTAGGACATCAACATAGGAATTCCAGGGTTGAGGAAGAGACACCTGAACCTATAGCCATTTAATTCACACACAGAAAAGTACATGAAGCAGAAATGCCCACTTCACCATGGTTACAAACCCAACTGCTGGCCATGTGACTGTGGGTCCCAGGCACAGTGGAATGGCCTTCCTGATCATAGTCCCTGAGGTGGCTGTGGCCTCCCTGCACATCACCCATGCATGCACCTGGAACAGCACCTGACTCCACCTCCTCTCTGCACCCCAAAGGGGCTGGCTTCTGACACCCAGCAGCTCATCAGGAAGGTTTGCCCCTGCCAACATATGCACTTCCCCTCTGCTGCAGAGCCCTGCTGTGTGCACACCACACTGCTCAGGTCCTTACCCTGTGTGTCACATCATTCTACTGGTGACAGGCATCCAGTTGTCTCCTGCTTGGACCTAGGGTGGCACTGTGACCCGAGGGGACTTGTATCATTGACTATACCGGAGAGGAGCAAACTGTCTCTCCAGAGGGCCGAACTAAGGGGCAAGTTTGGGTACAGAAGACAAAAGAAGCAGGGTATGGTGGCATATGCCTGTAATCCCAGCGATCTGAGAGACTGAGACAGGAAGATCACAAGTTCAAGCCCAGCCTGGGCAACTTAGCGACTTGGTGAGATGCTATCTTGAAATTTAAAAATTGAAAAGGGCTGCTTTGCTGGCCATTTCTTGGGGGCAGGTCTCAGAACCCAGCAGAGGGCAAATTCAAAACATGAGTCATTCAACCTGGACAGGTTTGCAGCTGCAGTCTCCGCACCCTGGCAAAATCATGGACCTGGCCTGAGTGCCCTAGTGGCTGCCAGCCTCCCCTTCCTGTGACCAGCCTGCTCCCCAGGCTCTGGTGGCTCCCAACCCAGAACAAGCTACCTTGCATGTGACAGGGCTCCACAGGCTGCTCTGGCACATCGACTACTTGAACTACAGACGCTTGAAACCCAGTGGGTACATAAAGGTCACTTTGACCTTCATGCCAAAGTCCCCTGCTGAAGATGCCCCGTCCCAGATGCATTCTCGACATCAAGGCCAGCATTTCTTCCTAAGGGCTCCCAGGCAACTTGCAAATAACTTACAACTTGAAAATAATTGGCACGCTGTCTCCTGTGACTTTTGTGTGTGCTTAACTCTCAGTCCCAGACGGCGCTGTAAGAGGACAAAATGCAGTTTCGCTGCCCTCCCGGCTTTTGGAGCCCATTCATGTCTGTGTGCACTTGAGCCAGCCTGGGGAGGGGCTGGGAGCCTCCTTCTTCTTGAGAAGACTGGGTGTTGGGGGACTGTCGGGGAGACTGGGCCTCCCCAGGTGCAGAGGAAGCGAGCCAGGGCTGCAGTGCTCACTCACCCTCCTCCCTCCTTCCCGCAGAGGTCTGGGCACCAAGGAGCCCCCAGTCTCACCGCTCGGGCTCCGAGCATGGAGAGCCACGGCACAGGGGAGGCAGCTTCATCCACAGAAGCCCGGGAGAGTCACCTGGCCAGGGGATCGGACTGACCTGTGTACCAGGAAGGGATGACCGGCGTCTAACTGGATCTGTTAAAGAGCAAACAGCCAGAGCAGGTGCCTGGGATTGCTGAAAAGGGCCAGCACTGTGAAGGTGAAGGAGACCAGGAAACGTGGCAGCTGAATGGGACATATGATCCTTGGCTGGATCCTGGATTAAAAGGGGGGGGGGGACGTAAAGAACATTAGAGGCATGATCAGGGAAATCTGCACAGCATGTACTTTCGATGACACTGTGTCAGTCTTTTCTTGAGTGTATTGTTGTGACAGTTGGTTTTGTGTGTCGATGCAGCTGCGGGTGGGCAGTTGATGAGACACTGGGAATGGTGATACGCGCCTGTAATCCCAGCACTCGGAAGTCTGAGGCAGGAGGATCACAAGTTTGAGGCCACTGTGGGGCTACACAGTGAGTTCAAGGCCAGCCTGGACTACAGAGTGGGACATTGTCTCAAAAAAACAAAGAGGAGATTGTGTTTAAACTGGGGAACTTTGAGTGAAGCCAACTGCGCTTCATCAGGTGGGTGGACCTTGTCCAATCAGGCGAAGGTCTCACCAGAACAAATAATCTGGCTGCCAGAGGAAGGTAATTCTCCAGCAGAGGCTTCCGGCTCATCTGCACCAGGGACCTCCCGGCTCGCTGCCTGCCGCCCACACTGCAGATGTGGACAGCTCCTAGGAACAGTCCCCTCCCACACGCACACATCCACCGCTCCTGCTTCCCTGGAGAGCCCTGGTGCCACTGTGCCAGGAGAACACCCTGTCCCCAGGAGGGCAAGGGTACAGGCAAGAGATGAAAGGTTACCATGTCTGCTCCTGACTCTCACAAGGCTCAGCAAACCAGATAGTGCATGCACGCATGTTATCCGTACACAGACACGCGTAGGTGCCATTCACAAACGGGTGCTGTGTGCAGGCACAGCAGTGCCAGCAGTTTTGCTTTCCAACAGTCAACTGTGGTCTGAGAATAGGAAATGGGAGATCCCAGAAGGAATCAGTAAGGTACTCTGAGAGGCCTTCTTCACATAACCATTGTTACAGCCTATCACAGTGGTAATTAATCCATGTGGTTATTCGTGCTGGTCTCCTACTGTGCCTATTTATAAAGCATCCTTACAAAGGATGGCAAAACCCAAGTCCGCATAGGGCTTGGTGCTGTCTGGTTTCAGGCACCCAGAGGTCCTGGGGTGAGTCCCCTACAGGTAAAGGGGGCGTTTATCTGTGTGCCCTATGGGTACATGTGTGTATGAAAAAGACAGGGCAGACACAGAGAGGGGCAAAGGTAGTTCCAAGTTAGCAGCTGCTGCTTCTAGGGCAGACGGCACAGACTCCTGTCGTTCTGGTCTTCCAACCTGTCTATAGGTTTTAAATGTTTTTCAGTGAAAATGCTGGGATGCTTTCCATGACTTTGGGACCAAGTGAAGACCCCAAGTCTGGTCTGGGAGCTGTTGGTGCGGGAGGGGCCCCGTGAGCAGAACCCAACCTTCCCACCCCGATTCAGAACCAACTGAGACCAGAGTCCAGGCACTGGCAGACAGAACCAAGCGTCGGGGGGCTGGGGTTGGACAGAATGGGCTGGGGTGACAGCCACATGGTGCCCCATGTCTGCCTGGGGACTCCTAGCAGCCTGTGGGGAGAAGCCTGGGTCTGCAAACATGGCTCCCCATCCTGGGCCACTGTCCAGGGAGGGGAAAGGACAGCAAGCCTGAAGATCCCCAGGCCCGGCCTTCAAGATCCATGGGCCAAAGGTGTCCCTCCCTCCAGCCCTCCAGGTCTCTGTGGCGGTACCCCTGTCTATCCAGGGACAGTGCCAGCCACCATGCACCGCGTGGGAGCTTGGGCCCAGGAAACTATCCCCAGCCCGGCTGAGATGAGTGTCAACTAGGGACAGGCACAGCAGAGCCACCACGGACAGGCACGTAAATAGGGGACAGAGGTGTGAGGGACAAATCAACACAACCACCACATGCGCGGTCCTTCCCTAGAGAAGGCCACATCACATCGCCTCATGGCCACCCCTCTCTACCTCCACGTAGCCCAGGCTCTGGCCTCCTAATGAGAAGCCACATGTGACCGCCAGTGCAGCTGGGCCCAGTGGCAACCAGCCCGATGAAGAGACACTAAGGCCAGCACGTGTTGCTGAAGCCAGCAGAAGCGGTGCTAAATGGCCACTCAGGGTGCTCAGCGGGTGCCAAGGAGACCTCACCCTGGGCAGCAAGGGGACCGCAGAGCCTGCTCCCTGCGGTGATGACCGGGTGCTGGGAGGCGGCATTCATACAAAGCCACAGACATCGTTTGACACCCCAAGAGACACAACCCAGACCCCAGCCTCCATAGAACAGATGAGTCAGGGAAGGCAACGAGGGGCCTTCAGATGCCAGAGAAATTCTGCTCCCAGTCTGCAGGCCCAGCTGCACAGCGTGGCCAGCTCTGTGGGCACCTCACAGCATCCATGCGTGATCCATCTCCTTTTCCTGCTTAAGTCTCGTGCAGAGGCTTATTAAAATCTACTAAACATACGTGCATACAGCTGGATATGGCAGTGCACACCTGTAATCCCAGCACTTGGGAGGCTGAGGCAGTAGGATCACTGTGAGTTCAAGGCCATCCTGGGCTACACAGGGATACCCTGTCTCAAAAACCAAAACAAACAAACAAAAAGGTACACGTCATGAAAGATCGATGGACATTTTATAGAGGCAAAAACATGCATGAAACACCAAAGCACAATGGCTTAATGAGGGGGGCAGGATGGCGGGGCAGGGTTGTAGGTAAATATGACCAGCGAGAGGCCTGCAGGGATGCAGACGCACAAACAGGGCATGAGGTAGGAAGGGGTACACACCGTGGCGGCAGCCCGGGGCACCCAGCTGTCCTATGTCCCCTTAGAGCCAGGGCCTTCCCTGAGCTGCAGGAACCCAAGAGGCTGCCCACTCTCAACACTGTGACTTGTTCTGACCAGAGCAGCCTCAGCACCACTTGGTGACCTCCACGGAAGTTTCAGAGACGTGACTTTGTTGAGCGAGCAATTCTGCCTGTAGGGAAACGTGGATTCAAGACCCACAGGCTTGAGCGTGTGTGCCAGGCTGGCTGGCACCATCACCTAGGGAAAGCCTCTCAGCAGCAGGCTCGGGAGGTGAAAGGAGGGACGCTCAGATGGAGGTGGGCCCACAGCCACTGAGGGTAAGGGTAGGCAAAGCCCCATCCACAGGCCAGCAGGGACAGCCGGGACAAAGAGGCAGGTCACACACGTTCCTGTGCCTGGCACATAGCAAGTGATTTTTTTTTTTTTTTTTTGTACCGGGGATTGAACTCTGGAACTTGCGCTTGGGAGGCAGGCAGCAGAACCACTGAGCTAAATCCCCAGCCCAGTAAGTGATGTTTTAATATTTACACATTTGTTTTGGTTTTCTTCTGTTTTGCTGAGTCAGGGTCCCATTTTGTACTTCAGTCTGGTCTTGAACTTGTGGCCATTCTCCTGCCTCAGCCTCCTAAGTGCTGGGATTACAGGTGTGAGCCATATGCATTCATGACAAATCCAAAAGACCCCAGCAAGCTACCAAGAATGGTTCCCCCAGGGGTGGAGTCGGGCGGCCAAGGATGTTCTCTTTCAACCTGTCTGATGTTTCCGTTCCTTGCGAAGGCCTCTTATGAGATGGATTGGAGGAGATCCGGCATCAAGCCCTTTCCCACACGGTTACTTCCGGTGGACAGGGCTAGTTCCACGCGTGCTTCACAGGACTGAACGCTTCCTGACCCCCATTTGTTGGGAAGTCACAGGCAGAGAGTGGGAAAGTCAGTGTCAGTCCCCCTCTGCCCTCGTGTACCTGACACTGCCACTTCCCCTCTGGGACTCAGGTCCCCTGGGATAGCCCTCGGGGAGCTGCCAAGGCCGAGTCCAGCTTCCCCTCCAGAGCCCTGTCCTGACAGCCTCTGCCCCGATGTGAGCCTGGGTCCAGCCCCAGAAAGATCTGGGGTTTCGCCACCTGCCTCTGGCAGCCAGCTCTGAATGTGACAGTAAACAAGCACAGCCCACCCGCGGAGCTGGGAGGCACCTCCCTCACGACCAGGACACACCTGGGCGCTGAGCACCGCCCTTCTGGCTAGCCTGAGGCCTCCTCATCTCCAGCTCTGCCCCTCCCAAGCTGGGGCGGGAGCCTGTCACCCTCGGCCTTCAGCCATCTGGCCCAGTGACCGGTCACTTGTCGGCGATGCCCATGTCGAACCCACCTACCTGGCTGGCCTCCGCCCGAGGCCTCAGGTCCTTCCTGCCCCAGGCGCCGTCCATGGAGAGCCAGCTCGCTCCTCCAGCTTTCCCCACCTGGCACGCCTTGTGGGGGCCCGAGGGCCGCCACTCCGTCCTCCCTGACCCGGGGTGCCAGCAGCCAGGGGGCCCCTGCCTCTAGTAGGCGGAGGAGGCCCTAACGTCTGGCTCACCTTGCCTTTATTCACCCAAACGTGGGCACAAGCAATCAAAGTAACACAAGATTCCCCTGCTCTCCTGGAGCCATTACTACGTGCTCAGGTCGCCTCAGCTTAGCCTCAGCTGCCTTCAGTTTTCCCTAGAACCTGCGGTGCGCCACCCCCACCCCCCGAGTGCAGCCTTTCCCCTTCAAGCTCACTGCGGAAGCAAATTAGGCCTCCGTTCTCCTCTGGTCTCCGACACCCGTGGGTCTGGGCAGTGGGGTCGACTCTTCTCTGCACTCTTGGAGGGCGGAAGTGGACTTGGGAGGAATAGAGGGAGGGAAAGACAGAGCCGCCTAGCGGGCAGGTGTGGAGGGACAGCCTTCCGGTGGCAGGGGACGTCCCCTCCCAGTCTGAACGGCAGCAGCACCAAAGATGTCAGCCTGAAGTGGGCCGTGTGTGTCACGCGCACTGAGCTGCAGGCCTGGGGACAGAGGGTTCTTCCCCTGGAGGTTGTCCTAGGCAGGGCCCGCGGCGGGCAGGCAACCAGATGGCAGGGTCAGTGGGTCCCAGGGGCGGGGCTGCCTCTGGCGTGTGTGACAAGCTCCCGTGTCTGGTTTCTTTGAGTGCTTTGATATGCCCGTGTCCCTGTGCTCCTGATTTAATTCGATACATTAATTTGTTACTGACACCATGAATTATGTATCAGTTTGTGCCTTGTGGTTCTGTGCTGGGCAGATGCTGGCTGTTTCCTTGTGCAGATCCAGCATGGGGCCTTTCTACCGTGGGGCTTGACCTCACCACACCGAGACTCAGGCAAACCATTGCTTTCCAAATGGAGTTGCTCAGGGCAAAGCCCAGCCTGAAAGCCACCGCTCCTTGCAACGTAGTGTCACTCCTGCCAAGCGACACCCGCCTCTCTTCTGTCCACAGCCACCACTGCTCGGTGCAGCCTCCAGCCCTGGCCACATGTCTATAAATGGCACCTCCGTTGGTCCTCTCTGTCCAGCCAGGCTAGGGTGGGTTAAATGGTGGCTTCAAAAAGCTACACCAGGGTCCTGTACTGGGATCTGGCAGCCGTGAGCTTATTTGGAACTCGCCTTTTCCTGTGTGATGAAGTTGAGGAAACCAGGATGAGTCGGGAGGAAATCAGGTTGAAATGACGCCTCTTACAGGCGTCCCTGTGAGAGAAAGGGGGGAAAGGCGAGATGCAGAGCCACGAGGGACACAGCCACAGCCCAGGAGCACGGGATGGGCCCAGGTGTGGATGCATTCTCCTGTACGGCCTCCAGGGGGAGCCAGCCCTGCCCACCCCTGGACTTCGGACTTGGGGCCTCCAGAGCTTGGAGGGAACGTGCTTCTGCAGCCTGAGGAGACGGAAACGCGCTCCCCTGGGCCATCCACCCTGGGGGCAACAGAGCCTGGGGGGCGGCTGCCAGCCTCCTTTGCACCAGCCTCCCTCTCCAGCCATCCTAGGGGAAATCACAGCCCCTGGAGAAGTGGATGGCAGTCACAGAGCTTGGCCGGCTGTCACTTTAAGGGACAAGGGTACAGCACAGTGGGAGAAGCCAGGCACCTGCAAATGTCCCACACTGTGTCATGGGGCCACCTCATCTGTCAACAGCCCTGCCCAAGCCACCTTATCAGGAGGCCCGGAAAATCGTGCAGCCGAAGCTGGGGCAAGTTGCCAGCCCTTGTCCCTTGTCCCTGGAAAGCTGTTCTGTGATGTGTCAGCCCAGCCAGCAGATTCCAAGTGGCTTCTCCTTGCAGCTCAGGGATGTCATCATGGCCAGAACCCAGCGTGTGGGGCGGGATCTGGGCCTTGTGCCAGGACGAGAATCTCGGGGTCTCCAGTCGGCCCTTGCCAGCTGCCGAGAGCAGCTTGAAGCCACTTCTGCAGACGTCCACTCATTTGGCAAAAGCGCATGATCTGCAGGCTGTATCAGGAGGAAACAGCCCAGGCTTCTTATATTTGGCCGATTTCACATCATCGTCCTTTTCTTCTTGTCACCTGCTCCTGGTGGCTGCCGCCAGCCTGTGCATATCACCAACCCTGAGAAAGCCCGAGGCCTCTTGCAGCAGGGGTTGCCCTGCTTCAGCTCCAGTGCACAGCGAAGACCCGGCCAGCCTGTGCCTCCCTCCTCCCCGGAGGGAGCTGCACCAATCCCGAGCCTGGCCACCCACCTGTCCCGAGCACTAAGGTCCTCATGGTCAGACCCAAGTGTCACGTTCTTTCGCTCCACCCAAAGCCCAACACAGAGCAGAGCCGGAGCAGGCACACCGCCCGGAGAGCTATTTCTCCCATGCACCTGCCCCTACCAAAATCTGTACTCCTGATGTACCCTGGCATCACTAAGTGAGTGGACTTGGACTTGAACTTGAGCTAACCCAAGGCACCCGGCAAGCCCAGAGGTGCAAAGGGCCAGGCTGAGCATGGTGCGTAGTGCGTGGAAGGGGCACGGAGGCCTTACACAGCCACCACACCCCCCACGCTGACCAGGTGGCTGTCTCAGTCCCCACCCCAGGGACTTTGATGACTCCAGAAAGACCCAGAGGAGTCTGAGGGCAGCAGCGAGTCCATGTGCAGAGCAGAGAGCGGCAGATCTTCCCACCCATCGAGGAACCATGACCTTGACGTCAGCCTTTGCCAAAGGAACCTGTCTCCGCCCTGCAGCCTGGATGTCCAAGACCAAGGTGCAGTGGGGCTGGTTTCTCTCTGCTTGGCTCGTAGACGGTGTCTTCTCCCCATTTCCCCACAGGGTCACCCCTGATGTCTGTGTCCTCATCTCATGGGGACACCAGGCAGCTTGGACAGGAACCTGCCCTGGTGCCCATTTTACCCGTAATGGCCTCTGTAAAGTCCTTCTCTGCACACCCACATTCCAGGCTGCAGGGGTTAAGGCTCTGACACATGGGTTTAGGGGGACACAACTCAGTCCCCAGCACCAAGCATCTCGGTTTACCCAGTGTGGCCAGGGTAGGACTGGGCCTCCTTCGGCACAGGGTTGAGGACACCCGGGCCCCTTGCAGCTGGGTAGGAGGAGTGCCAGGCTCTGCCCAGCAGGACGTGGGAGATGGGAGCTGCCCCGTCCTGGCCAGCGAGGGACAACTGCAGTCACCATGCCCCTGCATCCCTGGGATCCTAGAAAGGGTGTGGGGCTGTGCGATAGTGGGACCCCAGGTCCGGGGTCACCAACCCAGCTCGGAGCCCCACATTGGGCCCTGCTGAGCCCCCCACGTTCTTGGGGCTCCCATCCCAACTCCTGCACCCTCCTGCACCACCCCACAGTGCCATGAACAGCTCCCTGGTGGCACCAGCTGGAACCTGCCTCTCTGTGCCCGCCAACAGTCACTGGCAACGCCACCCTGTCCTGGCTCCTCCTCCACACACACGTCACCCAAACTCTGAGGACAGATGGGCTCTGCAGCCAGAGGACGGAACCTCCAGGAGCTCACGAGTGTAGACAAACAAGGACATGGATGTCACAGAAGGTGCCGGGGGAGGAGACCAATGGGCCTTGGGGGCCAGGGAGGCCCTGCATGCACTGGGCAAGAAGGCAGAGCCCTGGTTTAGACGCTCAGCTCCCCTTATACCAGCCTGCCTCCTATATCAATTCCCTCAACTTTCTGAGCCTTAGTTTCCCCAGCTGGAAAATGAGGCCAAAGATCACACCCAGGGTCACGGTGAGATGAGATGATGATTGTCATCACTGCAGTTATTTATGATAAGCTGAAGCCTGGACCAAGGACAGAGGCAAGACAGCCAGTCAACAGGCTCAGGACAGCGGCTGAATTTGGCTGGGGCAGAGGCATCGATGAAGGTGGCCAAGACAGCACCTAGCATCAGGCCAAGGACCCAGGCCCTCTGCACAGACCTGGTAGGGTCAGGTCTGCCTGGGATGGAATCGCTCTCTCTAAAGTGAGAAGGACACAGGGTGGGAGGCCAAGGAGGATGGAGGCCACGCTGCGGCCCAGGTCTGCGAGCTGGGTGCAGGCGAGGGCTGGACTGAGGAGGGAGAAAGAAAGCCTCAGCGCCATTCTGGCAGCCTAGGCTCGTAACCGCTGTCTCTCACACTCCCGGCCTCTGCAGCCAAGGCCTGCGCGGGGGACAACGTGCGGGCCTCCAAGGCGTGAGGCTCTGAGTGCCGAGGAGCAGGAGTGGGTGTGGAGAGACAGCGTCCTGCACCCGCTGCGCCCATCAGCTCTGCCCCATGCAAGCACACGCCAGACGCTTCTCTCCACACACAATTGAGGAGAACCTGTCCCCACGCAGAAACAGGAGGAAAAATAGACAAGTCACCTCCTGAATCCAGAGAAGACGAGAAAGAGGATGCTGCCGAGGACCCAGACTCAGCCCTCAGATCCTGCCACCCCGGGAGGCTTAACCAGAGTCCCAGACACCAACGGACCAAAACTAACAGAGGAGGAACCAGGAGCCAAGGGAGGAAAGGCATGTGGTGAGTGGGAGAAGGACAACAAACCCCATCAGAAGAGGAGCACCGGAAAGGAGGAAGAGAGTCGGCAGACCCCTAAGGCACTGCTTAATGCCTTAGCATATGTGCAAGACCAGAATGTGAAGACAGTCGCGGAAGAAAACGCTGCTGCTGAGACTCAAGGCCAATATTTCAGAACTTGAGAACTAGAGAGTGGGCCCCGGTACTGATCTCACGTCCAGAGAGCCCCCAACAATCCTGAGGCTTCATCGGGAGCTACAGCCATCTAACACTGCCTTTTCTTAAGACCACTTATTACTTTCCCATGATATCATATGATATTTTTGAACTGAGGTCCTAAATTCTTGACCTGGAACTGGAGTTGGCAACACCTAGCTCTACTTCTCCAACTGGAGTATCGTTCTTCATGTATTTATCTGTGTTTTGAGTAATCCTCTTCTGTATCTGTTGCATATTTTTTCTTGGTGTTTGAAGACATGTGCAGCATAGTATATGCCTTTCCTATCATACAGCATGTGACAGGGTGTGCAGCCATGGGGAGGCCTTGGGACATTTAAAGCCTCACACCCATGAAAACAGCTTCCAAGAAATAACATTCCTGGTGAGAATTCTTATTCTACAAATCCACTAAAGCTTAGGTCCGTGCTTAGTGTAGGACTCAGAAACCGGTCACTTTCCCATTACGCACAGCGAGCTAAACATAAAAAGCATTTGAAACACACAGAATGTTCCATAGTTACTGTGAAATTTTTCTTTCTAGTCCACTGGAAGTTGGAAGGAAGTTTTTTTCACTAACAGATATATTCTTGTTAGCCTTTTCTCCTAATTATTTTGTTATGGTGGTTTGGACAGAGGAGTGTGCTTAATACCAAGGCAACACAGTGAAATGTTTTCATGTTATGTAGAAAATAATTGACTGTTCTAAGTTTGTGACTCTGCTCTTATACACTGGACCACATTTGCCCACAGAATGAACGAGTCCAGTTTTCTTCTTTCCAAATGGTATTTTGATAGATACTGGATTGTGTCTGTGTCATTATGTTCATTTGGAGAAACTGTGATTTAACAACTGATTTAAATAAAATACTTGCTTTCACTTAAAAATAAAAAAAAGTTTGCAGCCGAAGAAAAGAGAAACGGCCTGTCTGAAGTCACGCTGAGTTACTGGCTCTCGCAGCTCCTTGCTTCTCCCTTCAGCCTTCTCTTAGGCAAGTGCGTGCAGGAGACCAGCTCCTACGGGGCGCAGTGCTGCCAGGTTGCAGGCGTCCTCGGGCTGCTGGAGCGTTGCTCCCAAAGATGTGTGTGTGTGTGCACACGTGTGTGTGTGCACGTGTACTTACATGTGTACATACAAGGGCACCTCCTGTTACTCCACTTCCAGGCCACCCAGAGCAGTTTCTCTTTTCCTGTGAGATGAAGCTGTTATGCTTGGGGAATAGAGGGAGCACCTGTTTCCCCGAGACCCCCTCATCATGTTCGGTCAGGCCCCTCTGCACACGTGCCATAAAACACAATTCCGTGTGTAACATAGAATGCATGTGACATGTAACTCTGCCTTCCACATTTTTACCATAAGCACTTTCTTACTATTAGAATTTTCCATCACCATCAGTTCTATGAAAATAACACGAAATCTTCTAGCCTGTGAATCTTTCATTTGTTATTCTCCATTGTATCCGATTTTTACTATTATAAATGACTGTGACATACATCGCTGCACCTGTTTCTTTGTCTAAAATCTTTTTCTTCCCTTAATCCCCCAACGTGGAACCCTTAGGCCGTGAAGCAAGCTCTGAGCAACACTGACAAGATGCCCTCCGAACACTGGCTCTAAGTTGGCTGCGGGGAGCAGGGTGGGACCGCTGGTGTGCACTTGAGGGGGGCTGCTCACAACCCCAGCTTTAATCTCATTACTGTCCCTAGCCCCATTCCCCCACCCTGAGGCTGACTGCCGTGTGGGCTGAGCAGTGGGCACACACTGGGGACCCTGGTCACATGGACGCATGATAGCTTTTCCTTTTATAGCTGCTCGAGACCACAAAAAACAGGACACTGCCCATCCGGACCCCTTCACCTTCTCCCAGGGCACTGTCCCTTTCTCTCCTCCAGCCACAATTACAGCGACACTGGTGCATAACTCTCCTGTGCTTTTACTTCCAAATGCCATTGATCCAAACTGAAGGAAAAAAAAAAAGTAAAACCAAATGAAAAATGCCTTCTCCGGCAGGACCGGTGTCGTCTGCACTGGTAATGTCATTATGCTCCAAGTTCTCTCTTCCGGAAAACAAAATTTCATTTTGGGCACAGAAAAAAGAGATGGAATTTTTAAACTTTTGGAATTGCCTGGTAAAGAAAAGGCTGCGTGTTGCTGCCCACAAGCTGAGCAGCAAAAGCCATTCTTAGAGGGCAGCTCACAGCCTTCAGGGTTCATACTGAAGAAAGACTGAAAACCAGTGACCTAAGCATCCAACCTCAGATACCATAAAAATAAAAAACACAGCCAAATCACTTTCCAGCCCTCCAGCTAAAATCGGCTGTAAAAGTGACAACCGAGTAAACCCAAGAATGTGGGGAAAAGAGGATTAAAGAATGAAACAGAAAACAACCTTGGCTGGGCATGGTGGTGCCCGCCTATGATCCCAGCACTCAGAATGTTGAGGCAGAAGGATCGCTGAGAGTTTGAGGCAAGTTCAAGGCCAGCCTCAACTACATAGTGAGACTGTCTTAAACGACGACAACAACAAAAACAGTTTCCCATAAAGAAATCTCTAGGTGTCAACAGCACCAGACCTTAAGGACAAATCATCCCAGTCTTATCAAACTTTTCCTTCCTGAAGACGGTGTAATTTTAGATTAGTATGTTCCCCACTGCTGTGACAAATTACCCAAGGATGGACAATGCACATGTAAAGAAGGTTCATTTCTTTCACAGTTCTGGGGGCCAAAAGTCCAAAATCAGGGGGCTCCATTGATTTGACCTCCAAGGGGGGAACCTCAGCACATGTCCTCATGGGGGGATGTGTGCATGATGGGGAGAGTGTGTGGCAGGACCAAAGGCCAGAGAGCAGGGAGGGACTGGGCCTGTTCCTTTTAATTTTTTTTCTCTTTATATACAGACCTGAGGATCAAGCTCAGGGCCCCACATATCCTAGGCCAGCTGTTTTCTACACTGATCTTCACTCCCAGCCCTTGGTAACAACCATTGGTGAGCACTGGCCAGGTTCCATCCCTCCTGAGGCCATGCCCCCAATGACCCAACAGCCTCCCGCTAGCCCCACCTCTTAAAGGTCCCACCACCTCTTAACATCACCACATTGCAGCCAAAGCTCCCAACACATGGACCCCTAGGGGACAGGCCACATCCACACCATAACAGATACTAATACCAAAACCAGAGAAAGAAAAATTATGGCCTATCTCACAAATGAACAAAGATGGAAAAATCCTACAGTAACAATGAGCAGAATCTAGCCTTAAACACAAAATATAACATTTAAATGCTGCGTGGGCAAGAAGGCTTCATCCTGAGAATTTGAGGACCATTTATACAGAAAGTGTGACTTATGTGGCATGCTGTCATCCGGTGAAAGACAGACGGTCATCTCAGTAACACAGACAAGGTTTCTATAAAATGCAACTTTGGACTTAGGACAAAACAGGACAAATTGCTTTTAGTGAGCTAGGAATTCTCTTTTTTTTTTTGGTACTGGGGATTGAACTCAGGTCCTTGTGCTTTCGAGACAGGCAGCGACACCACTGAGCTAAATCCCTGGCCCAAGCTAGGAATTCTTAACTTGAATTTTCTTAATTTGAAAAAGGGCATTCACCAGTCATTAGACAGATGTCATTTTTCCTGGGTGGGAAATTTCCCTCTGAGAAAGACAAAGCTTCCTTGCATTAAACATCGTCATAGAGGATGCAGCCAGTGCAATAGAGCAGGAAAAAGAAATAAAAGCATAAAAGAGCAATACACTCTCATTTCCACAGAAGAAAAGTAAATGAAAGATACAATCAAGTTATTAGAAGTACTAAGAGAATGCAAAAAGGTTTTCGGATGTAAGCTCTATATAGAAAACTCACATTTTGATTCACCAGCTACAAACAAAAAACAGAATTCAAAATATATCATGTATAATATCGACAAAAATATCACCTAGAAATAAATCTAATAAATATATGTGAGACCTATCGAGTAATGTTTAATGGAGATATAATGCATATTCCATTAAACGTACAGTGGACCTTCAAGTTACGACTGGCTTGACATATGACCGAAATTTGAGTTTTAATTTACAACCAAAGTCTTGAGTTATGACCCAAATGTCAGCTGCTTCTACTTCCAGATGGTCTCAGATACAGATAAACCCTTAAAGAGTTCTAGAAGGACCATTACAACACCCATTCTCACTTGTGCTGACTCGGGGCCGGTGACAACAGGCACCTGTGTGCAGGCCTGGACTGCAGCACTGAACTCCTCTGTCCCCAGGAGGGCCGAGCCATTGGCCAGTCACCTGGGAGGCAGGGCCAGCAGCAGAGAGGGCACCTGGGCAGCCCAGCCAAGCCCTCCGGGGACTGGCAGTGCTGGAATGCACAGGCTGGGGTGATTTCCACCTTCGTGGGTTCCTCCAGGAGATGGACAGGGCCAAGCTAGCATGGAGAGGATAAAGCCACTCACCAGGGGGCACCCAGCCCAATGTCTCCACAGTCCCAGCACAGGGCTGGCCATGTGCCCAGGGGTGGAGCCCTGAAATGAGGTGACCCAGTCCATCCTCTGGGGGCCCACGAAGACAAGGGCAGTGAGCAGAGAGCACTGGCCAGTGGGGAGACTGGCACGGGGACAGCAGGGTGGAGGCCACTCCTGAGAGAATGGCTTTTGGGCATCCAGCCACAGCAGGTCCTCTCCCTTGTCCAGAGTGTGAGGAGGGGCCAGGCCCCAGTTGAGCTATGAACACAAAGAAGTAGACTTGCTTTGTCCCCAGCATCCCCAGCCTGTCACCTGATGCCCAACAACCCTTCCCAGCAAGAGCGCTGATCCCCTTTGACTAATGAGGAAACTGAGGGACAAAGAGTCTGCAAAACGTGTCCACAGCTGCTCTGCTAATGTTATGGCTGAGCCAATCCTGACCCCTAAAGCTCAGGCTCTTGATGTTGGTACTTTCTCCTCTCGGGCAACAGGAAGTCATGCAAGGTTGTTCAGCATGGGAGTGGCTGTGTTGCTCTGCATAGGGCCAGCTGGAGAAAAGAAGGTGGGTGTAGAGCCACATGGAACAACAGGACCTGGTGACACCTGGGAGCTGCAGTGCGGCCATCAGCGCTCAGCCTGAGACAGACCCTGTGAGCCTCCTCTGACACCTGCAGCGGGGCTGGGGTGGTCGGTGGGAGCCTGCACTCCTCGGCTCTGCTCTTAGGTGCCATTCCATCTCCTGTCACTGGCACAGTCCCCTTGGGACAGAGCCACTCTCCTTTCTGGGATGAGAGCCGGGCACAGATCCAGGAAGCCACTTGGCCCCGGCCCCCAAGCTGGTGGGAAAGCAGGATCCCAGCTGGACCCAGGGTTAGAGGATCTCCCACCCAGCTGCTCTGGCCCAAATGGTCAGCAGGCCCCAAAGAGCAGCCTCAGCATGAGTCAGCTGCCTTCCTATTATCAGCCACTAACTTTTTGGAGTAATTTGTTATGCAGCATTGTCACAGCAATCACTGGCTGATACATAGTGCCAACCTGGAGCAATAACAGCTGCTGTATAGTGCCCATAGTGTGAAAATAGGAGAAGCTTCTAGAAGTGGTGATATGTGATCCAAGCTGCAAAGGACACATCTGAGGACCTTGAGGCAGCATAACTAAAGACACTCACAAAAAAGGACGCCGAAACTGCTGCAGAAAGTGGCAAGAATGATGGGATAAGTGTGCTTGAAGTGAGGGAAAGGACTTTAAGGGGGATTCATGGCAATGTGTCATTTACTAATACATTTTTTTAATTTAGCTTTCACCTTATATTTCAATTATACCTCATGAACCTCTCTGAACGCCAAGGTATTCATCATAGCAACTTGAAGCCGACAATACGCAAAGGTTGTCCAGCTATAACCTGTGGTAAATCAGAGAACACCTGGAATTTTAACTGAAAGCCATGCATTTGTCCAGGAAACTCCATGTCCAGACAAGGTCGGAGGCACTGGGCTGGCAGCTGCAGGATGGGGTAAAGCCAGAAGCCATGGCTGCATCCAGGGCCAAGAGCTCGGTATCCGGGATGAGCTGAGCAGGGGTCAGCTTCCTGGTGTGCGTTCACCTTGCATGCACTCTGAATTCTGTCCCATGTACATACATTATCCATTTAACTTCTAAACAATTATTCTAAAAATGAGACTCAGTTTTAACATGCGGAGAAGCTGCAGTTCGGGTCTTCCAGAATTATTGTAAAGACAATTTTTTTAAAAGCTGTGCAATGATCCTGAGTGGAAGGCCCAACCTTCCAACCACACCGGGCCCCTGAGCCTCTGTTTTTGGATGGAGGGCCGATGCTTGCGATAACTCCATCACCAAAGCAGCACAACGGGAGCTCTTAACAGGAACTACTGATGTCAGGGGATCAAGTCTCTCATCTACCCGATCCAATGCCAGGATGAAAACATACTTTTCACACAAAAGCACTACTTACAATAGCTAGGATGATGAAATCACCCAAACGTCCCCCACTGGATGAGGCAATAAACACAGGAAGTTCAGCTACATAATGGAATATTATTCGGCCATGGAATGGGACAGAGCATTGAAACTTGCTATGACATGGGTGGACCTTAACAATATCAGGCTAAGTGGAAGAAGCCAGTTACAAAAGACCATATCATAGGATTCTGCTCATATTAAATGTTCAGAACAGGGACATCTATTGAGTAGTCTCAGAAAGTAGATTAGGGGTTGGCAGGGGCCGGGGATTCAAAACTAGGGGTGCTGGTTTCCTTTGGAGGTGAGGAATATGTTCTAAAACAGTGGTGCATCTCTGCAGGTTTACTGGAACCCGTGGGATTATCTGGTGTGACAACTACATCTCAATGAATTACATCTTTTTGATTTTGTTAATAATCAAATTAGAGGGCAAAGACACCATGCTTCTGGCTCGCATCTCTCTCTGAGAAAAGGCAGAAGTCCTCTCAGCCCTCTGTGGCCCAGCCTCGGCCGGGAACCTACAACTCACACCCCTGGGGCAGGCCAGGCCCCTCCTACCTGTGTTTCTGCTCTACCCATCCCTGTTGCTGCTCGAACGTTTGTCTCCCAAGCCCTGGCTCTCAGGCCTTCTTGAGGCTTGGGCCAAGGCACCCACCTCTCTCACTGTGCCCCACAGCCCCGGACTTCCAGTGCACAGTGGACATGGCGAGTTTGTGTGCTCCATTAGCTGCTGACTGCCATGCCTTCCCAAGGACAAGTGGGACAGCAAGCTTGCAAGCCGGCCAAAAGCCTGTCTGGGGAGGAGAAGCTGGCCATGCCCTGGCTGGAGCAGAGCTCACACTCCCAAGCCCAGGACGACAGGGTGACGTGACATCAGAGGACACAGTGGACAGGAGCAGGGGCTTGTGCACCCTCTCCTGGGCTCACGGCATCCCTGCTTGGCCACACCTGCAGCGTCACAGACAGAAGCCTTGCTCCCTCCCTGCCCAGGTCCCTGTCCCCCACTGGTCCCAAGTGACAGCACCGCCCGACCTGGTTTGCCCTGTGTCATTCTCCCTCCACACCAAGCTCACCTGCTGCCCTGACACTGGATCTCCAACTAGACCTTCCCTGGGCACTTCCTGCATTGTCACTGCCACCTCCTGGGCCCAGGGCACTGGACATCACATTGACCCCCTGCCCTAGTGGGTTTCAGTCTTCGAAGAAACCAGGACAGCCTGGGACAGCAGGAGTTGGACGAGAGGTGAGAGGAGCAGGGCTCCCTGCAGTGGCTTTGCCTCCCTAGTTTGTCCAGAGAGCGCGTGGACACTGCTGCTGTGCAGGCCTTACCGCAGTGAGCTGCTCGTAATCTCTTCCATGTCCCAGACCAGCCAGGTCTGTGGGGAGCCAGCCGCACACCCAGCACCCAGGCCAGGCCTGGCTCCAGCCACAGGCACTCTGCAAGCCCCAGGAGGGGTCAGCTGGGACAAATGTGGCCAGCTCAGCCTATGGTCACACACAGGGAAGGCCTTGATGTCCGTTCTATGCCCGGGGTTGGCAGCCATCTGAACTGTGGGCTGAAAAACCAAAGTTAAAATATTTCACCCAAAACATGACAGGTTTTCCTCCAGAAATCCCTTTGGATGGTAAACCCCACAAAGCACTTGAAAAGGCAGCTATTTTTACTTGAATCAATTTGCAAATTTGCAATGTGCAGATGAAGCATGTTTGAGCTGGCCATGACAGACTTTTGGCTCCATCCTTGCCTGGGGCCGATGGCGGCAGCCGTCCCCACCCTTGGGGATATCCAGCCTGGCCAGCCTGCTCTGTCTCTCCACTCTGGCCCTGGCCCCAGCCCCAGCAGGCTGCCCACCAAATTGGCCTGGGCACAAACTGACCCCAAGAAACATCCTCAAGATTCCCTACGTGCACCCAGGAAGGGTCCTGGGCTCTCGCTTGCTCTGGGATCTGAGTTCTGAAGACCCTGGACCCCAACTTGCTGGCAAACAGTTTCACCCACTGCCGGAAGAATTGCAACAGGAAGCTGAGGCTGAGGCAGGCAGGCCCAGGAGGTGAGAGAGGCCAGGACAGGAGCCCAGCATCAGCACCTGCACCTTCGAATGCATGAGCATGGTAGGAGCCGTGACTGGCCGCCTGTCACCTGCATGAGAACTGTTCAGTCTACCGGGCTCCAGAGACCTGGATTCTGGCAGGAGACACTGCATCCTCCCATGACTCAGTTTCCCCACCTGTAAAATAGGGCTGATATTCATAGCCACTTCTTAACACCTGTGAGTGGTTAGAAAGTCAGGTGAATGCAATGGGGTCTCCACACCTAGTGCACCCCCAGGTCCTGGCTCCACACCTGTCACCTCAGGCACCTGACTCCGCCACCCAGAAGGTGCATTCGACAAACTCTGATGGGTTTGTACCTGAAGGAACTGAAAACAAGGTCACAAAGACATATTGCACACCCATGTGCACAGCACTGTTATTCACAGTGTGTACAGACGGAAGCGACCAGTGCCCCCGGCAGGGACAGACACGTGGTGACCACAGGTGCATACTCTGCGTGGAAGTGGAGGGGGTTCTGACGCACAGTGCCTGACACTGGTGGAGCTTGAGGGCACTGTGCTGAGTGGAAAACCAATCACAGGGCCAGGATGTGGCTCAGTGGCGCCACAGCCTCCCTCGCAAGCGCAAGGTCCCGAGTTCGATCCCCGGTACCAAAAGAAAACCCTGAAAGGCATGACTTGATACACATCAAACAGATCACATGAGATGATGCCAGCAAACTGAACAGGGAAGCCCAGGACACGCAGCTTATTTGCTATGAAAATTGCTCTCGGACCCACAACAGGAGTCCCTTGGCCTGTACAAAACACTTCCTGCCTTGCCTGCCCAGCCAGACACCCCCTGGCTGTGAAACCCCATGGCTGGGCTCCCATCAAGGGGCCTGGAACAGGGTCATTCCCACCCGGGGATGAGCCCGCCTCAGGGCAGAGCCCCTGGCCTTCGAGGTGTTTTTGCATCTGCAGGGCTGTGACGCTCACAACAACGACGCCTGGCATCCAGAGAGAGGCTTCCGATCTCACTACAGCAGCTCCTGTGTGGTTCCATTTTTGTCGATGCATGTATTTTAGTTTTGCAGTTTGTTTTGTTTTGTTTTGTTTTGTTTTGTTTTCTTTGGTACTGGGGATCAAACTCAGGTCCTTGTGCTTGCACAGCAGGTGTCGAAACCACTGAGCTAAATTCCCGGCCCTGTAGTTCTGTAATTTTTTTAAAAAGCAAATGTTTCAGCAGAACATTTTGCTACATGAGAAGTTTGGATTCAGTAAAGCAAAAACTGCGCACAGGTCTTGGTTGTTTGCAGTGATCCTCACACAGCCCCTGCATTACTGGGCGGCAGCGATGCTGGGAGGTGCACGTGGGCCCCTGCCCCGTGCACAGAGCGACGCGTGCGGTGAGGTTCTGTCCAGCTGCAAAGCAGTGAACGGGACATGAACCAGGGCCTCGCCCCAGATCCAGCAAGCCCAGGGCCAGCCCAAAGCCGCAGTCCTGCTCACGTGAGCCAGGCCCCCTTCCTGTCACCCGGGCGGTGGCGGGGGTCATCCTTCTCCAGCTCCAGGCTCTTGCACACCTGGCTGGGCACAGTGTCTCTGGAGCCCTGCCGTGGAGACAGGTCGGTGCGAGGGCAGCCATGGCTCCATTTCCAAACCAGCCCAAGCTCATAACCCTAAGCCAGGGGCTCACACACTGCTGAAGGGGGAGCAGGGAAGGGGGAGGTGGAGGTGAACCAAGTGGCAGTTGTCACACAGCATGGACCAATGAGTGACCACGGGCCTGGGGACCCCAGGAGGAGCTTTGCTGGACACCAGCCTTGCAGGCATAATAGCTGTCAGAAGGGTCACTTCACAGCCATCAGCCAGAGACGGAAACAGATCAAGGCAAAGTCCCAAAGGGTCAAAGCCCAACGCAGCACTGTAGACAGAGCTGCATGGATGATGTGGCTTTGTGGCTTATTCAACCTGCAGCTTCTGGACACCGGCTCTGCCCAGGCTGTGGCAACACAGCACGAATAAGATGGACACACCCCCAGCCTTTGGGGAGCTCAGGGGAGGCAGATCGACCACAGAGGTCCTCCACCGCCTGCTGCAGCCAAGCCCTGCTCGCAGGTAACAGGCACATGTGAGCCGCTGCAGGTGCTGAGCCCTTCGTGTGCCTCGGTGCAACCCACAGCCTTCCCACAGGGACCGGGGGGCGGCCCCATGCACAGAAGCAGAAGCTGAGGGCCAGAGATGTCAAGAGCTGTTCAAGGCCTCGGCTGGGACTGGAGCTGGGCAGTCTGGCCCTGAGATCCCCTCTCAGCACCCCTGGGCATGCAGGATAGAGGCAGCCAGGGCACCCCACCTGTCAGAGATGGAGAGGGAGGAGACAAACCTGATGCAGGATCCAAGGCTTGTGCAGGCCGGAGACAACCCTCATTCCATCTGTCGGCATCTGGGGACAGGGCAGGAAGAAGCTGAGCGTGAGGGAAACAGAAGGGCCAGAGCTGGGCGTGGTGGCGCACCCTATAATCCCAGCACCTTGAGGGGCTGAGGCGACATGGTCTCAAGTTTGAGTCCAGTCTGGGCAACTTAGGGAGACCCTGTCTCAAAAATGTAAAAAGAAACATTTTAAAGGCTGCACTTGGGTTCAGTCCCCAGTACAAAAAAAAAAAATAAGAGCCAGATCTAGTAACACCTGTAATTCATGCAAAACTGAGGTGTTTGATCCCAAAGCCAATAGGGAGCCACTGAAGTTTCGGGCAGTGATTGCCAAGTCAGAGTCAGATCTGCCCTTTAGGAAGCCAGCCCTGGCTACTGCACCGAAGGAGGCTAGGAGGAGGGAGACAGAGGCAAGACAGAGCAGTTCTGGACCAGGAGAATGATGGCAATGACCTGGTCGAGCATCATGGCTTCCAGGCCAGGCAGAAGTAGACAGATCCAGGCAGTCCATTCCAGAGGGTGCGACCTTAAAAGCTCCACCCCATGTCATTCTCCTATCCCCTGGCAGGCTGCTGGCTTCTGCTCTGTGCCCCTTAACCCAACCCCAATAAGGCGAAAACTACACACTGCTTCCCTCCAGGAAGGGGATCAAAACAGCTGGTGGCTGAGACAGAGGCTTGGCATTCCAGCACTGGTACTGCCACAAATAATAACTGACCAGTTTCAAAATTGGAACTTCATTGTGCACACGGAAGGACAGCTCCTAGCCTGGGGTCTCCAAACCAAATGGCAAAAAGCCACAAGCCACATTTAGTGCAGTCTGTGAAGCATTAAGTAGGAAGAATTCTGACCTTTCTTGTGACTGACTGTTGCAATGGTCAGCTTTCCCATTATTGAGATGTAATACCCAACACTCATAACTTAAAGGAAGAGAGGTTTAGTTAGGCTCATGGTTTCAGGGGACTCAGTCCATAGCCGGCTGGCTCTAAGGCTGAAACATCATGCCAGAAGGGTATAGCAGAGCAAAGACACAGTTCGTGGTGGCCAGAAAGCAGAGCAGAACAGTGCCAGAGAGGAGGGGGAAGGGACCAGATATAGATCCCAAGGCCACTCCCCCATGACCACCCAGACACACCCAGCAGTGTGCTTTGCTAATCTCAATGCAGTTGTTTTCAATCAGTTGAGGATTCTATTGCTCAATGTAGGTAAAAATCATGAATTGACAAAGTACAGCTATTAGCGGCTCTGATCACAGCTCAACCCTGGTTAATCCTGGTTGCTGTTGGTTCTCTGCCTGTTATCAGTCTCTGCCATTGTCAATTGCCACTGTCCAACCCAGCTTGTGCCGGTCCCTGCTGGCCAACTCTGCCCATTGCTGCTGTCACTGACCTTCATTGGCTGGTGGCTCTGGTGCTTATCAGGGCTGACCGCCCCATGTTTACTGCTGTTTCTTTTAAGCCAGCCACTCTGTGCACACTACTCAGGCTCCAGAGTAGATTCACAGGAGCTTCTGAGCCCACACCGCCTGAGAAATAAATCACAAGCGGGTTTACAGGAGCACCACAGCTCGGCTTTAACAGGGCTTGTGCAGCAGCACTGGGTGTCAGTGTGTACTCAGAGGGAGCCCTTCTACACTAACCTGCAAGTGCGAGCAGCTGGTGCTTATATACTGTTTTCCTGAAAATAAGACCTCCCTGGGAAATAAGCCCTGGCCATTACCATGGTGATGGCCAGTGTCATGGAGAAGACTGCACATCACTACTCTCTTGCTCAGTGGCTGCTCTGTAGTGGCAGGTAAGGCAAGGTGATTGAGGCTGCCATTCTTGGGCTCCAGTTTTCAAGGCTGATTATTTTCCGGTTAGGTCTTATTTGGGGGGAAACACAGCAACAGCTGCAATCCTGTGATTGGTCCACGTATAGGCCTGTGATTGGTCCAAGCAGGTGTAGGGCATCCAGGACAGCCACAGCCATCATGGCAGTTCCATGAGAGCTCAGGGTGACACGAGGGATTTGATAGCTGTTGTGTCTCTGAAAAAATGGCTGAAACTGGGGACTCTTCAGGAGGGTTAGCTGTGTTCGGCACATCTTACTGGGGATAGGGTGCTTGGGGGTTAATAATGGGCTCAGGCCCTCCCTGATCTCTGCCACTTTAGGGGCTGAGTCCCCACTTCTTCCACATCCGGAGCAGGCGGTGTGGAGGAGGGGCGCCACGCTGCACCTCCCATCAGCACGGCGCAGAGGGCAGCGCCCCAGCAGCCTCAGGGTGGCGGGAGGACACTGTGACAAGGGCCAAGTTGTCCCAGTCCACCCTCCAGGGCCCAGGGGCTGCGAAGGGGAGCAAGGTGGTAGCTCAGCCCCACTATCTCTGGCTGGCACAGGAGAGAGAGCGAAGTCGGGCACTTCTCTCCCATCCCATGGTCAGGTCAATGGAGACGATGGCCGATTCTGGGGCACAGCTGCTCCACATCATCACCCTTTACAGCAGACGCCACTGTTCAGGCCGATGGTTTGCAGCTGATCGGTTTGCTTTCACGGAATCAGCTGACAAGGACCTAAAATGCACACTTTGTGCTTTGTTTCTGATCAGAGCCAGCACTCCAGGGAAACGTCTGGCTCTGAGCTGGGGGCCAGGGGCTGTATCTAGTGGTTATCCCCTCAACTGAACTGAGAATGTGACCAAGCTATGCAGCATGACTTGGTCAGCTCTGTTTCTTTTCCACAGACATCCCAGCTCACAGACTAGAAGCTCAGCAGGTCCTTTCAGTGATTCAGAGAAATGTTCATGAAGATCATCTGCAAGTTCATGGCTGCTGACAAGCATTTATGACTCTTGAAAGAATCCAACATGCAGGGGGTCACTGATGTAACTAAGAGGACAACCAGGACAATTGGAAGGGACCCTAAAGCAAGGTCCTCGGAGCCAAGACCTCGCCAAGTAACTAGACCGCCCGAGCTGATGGTGTGCCCCAGAGCTGTGGAACCCTTGGACAGTCTTGTAGAGCCCCTCATCTGGGGCTACACGTTCCGACTTACTGGCATAGAAACAGTATATTTTCAACATGGCAGTTCCAGGCTATGGATGTCCTGGTTTGCACTCTGTCTCTGGTGATGTCTTCGGGTATCCAGGTGACATTTCTGCAGGGCCCATGTGGCCCAGGCGTGGTATTTACCCACACGTCAGCTCTTGGGGTGATTTGCTGAAGCTTACAGCAGATGTGCAGCTCAGAACCACCCAGCTCAATGGCACGGTCTTAAAGCCATGAGAAACCCAGATGTATCTGTCTTTTCTGTGAATTGTCTACAGTTCTGCACCATTACTGCTTGCAGAAGATTTCGGGACAGCATCAGAATGGAATGACGGCTGCTTGGATGACAAAGGCTGAACGTGGCCTGGGTTAGAGCTCGTGGGCCTTGGGTGGGGCGGCTTGGCCACATCTCTCTGATGAGCAGAGGCGTGGAATTTGGGCCAGAAATAAACCTTTGCTTCGAGTCCGTGGTTGGAGGTTGGGGAGTCACTTGTCACAGCAGGTCATTAAGCGAGCTGGCATCGCTGTCCCAGTGGGAGATGGGGACATTAAGATGCAGGGAGGCTGGGACTGGCCTGGGACACTGTGGACAGGAGGGAGAAGGAAGGAATGAACATGGATGGGGGGAAGGGGCCCCACCAGCCCTAGAGGAGAGAGCACGCAGCCTCCTGCAGCAGCTTCTCCTAAAGGCCGCCCCCTCTAGCACCCTTGGGCCCTGGGCCCTCTCATTTCCCGCAGCCGTCCTCGGCCTGGCCCGGCCTGGCAATCAGACCTCGGGAGCCGCACACATGTTGGAGGAGACTGTGGACGTTCAGATTCTCTGCCCCTAGCAACACCCCGTTTCTCCCCCATCTCTACGCATAAGCCCCCTGCTGAGAAGGGCCGGGGAGCTCACTCCTGCCTTTGGTGTCCTGAGGAGGGACAAATCTCTGCCCCTCTCCAAAGTCTGGCTTGAGTGGGAGGGAGGCTCGCTGCCAAAGTGTGCTACCCGGACGCTGCTGCATTCTTGGCAGATCAGCACGGGCCCTGGAAACTCTCAAGGTGTTTTGTGTTAAGAATGTTTTATAGCTTGAGAGAGAGGAAGTGGAGGGAGGCAGGAAAGGGGAAGGAGAGGGGCCGAGGGAGGGAGGAGCGAGAAGGGATGGGCTGATGCTATAAAGCCCCTGGGATCTATTCAGCCCGCAGTAAGGGTCCAGGCCGGAGGTCAGTGCTGTGAGCAGGAAGCTCAGGCTGCAGCTTAAAGCAGGGGCCTGGAGCGGGGTGTTCTGGTTGCTATCTAGCTGTCCCCCAAGGGCCTCTTGCACCCACAGGTGGGGCTTTGGAAGGATATGGATTATGGGTTATGGGGCTCATAGCTGACTGCTGTAGGAGGTGGGGCCTGGCGGGAAGAGGCAGTCATGGGCGTGGACTGGGAGGGCTCCTCCCCCTCCCAGCCCCTCCCTTCCCTGCTTCCTGTGCCCCATGCTGACAGCCGCTCTCCTCCCCCAGGCCCCTGTGCCCTTTCTGCTTGGAGCCAGATGATTATGGACTGAAGCGGGAGCCAAAATCAATCTCTGCTCCTTTAGTTTGGGGTCCAGTAGTGAGTCCCAGCAACAAGAAAGTGACTAAGATAGGGGCTCTCTGCCCTCCCCCTCCTGAGCTCCTTCTCCACATGCTCTGACCCGGTGGGGCCCAGGGGCTGCCCAGGCTGGGTTTGCATTGCGACTCCCCAGGGATTGTGAGGCCCTTGAGACAAGGTCCCCAGGTCCTCCCAGTCCCTGGCACAGGTGTGATGTCCCCTGGGCAGGTGTCAGCCCTGGGACCCCTCCCTGCCACGGCCCAGCTTTGCCGGGCCACATGGGTGTCCCCTCCCCCCTCAGCTCACCGCTGTGTTTACAGGATGCAGGCACAGGCCTGGGACTCCAGCCTGCAGGGAACAGGGGTGGGGACCAGGAGAGGCTACCACAGTGGGGACAATGGCCAGGGACTGCCCGCTGCTGACAGGTGGACCCAGAGGAGCCAGCACACACTCCGACCATGAAGCCTTTGGGGGTCACTAGCATCTCCCCTGAGCTGCAGCCAGGAAGGAGCTGTCCTCATCTTTGCAGATCCACATCCCAGCCGTGCACAGAGGCTTAACGGAGTGACTTCCTCCTAGGGCTGGCTCTGCTTTGATTTATGAAACGTGCCTGGATTATAAAGCCCCAGAAACCACTCTGCTCTGGATGGCCATCACTAGCCATGTCCTCTCCAGGACAAAGCCCGACTGACACTGCGCCCTGGGGACCAATCAGCCTCAGCCTGAGGGCGCTGGGCAAGGGTATTGACCCAGCCCCACCTCCCTGCCCTGGATGGGGCCTCACCCAGGCTGTTCCCCAGTTTGCTTTTTTCTCCCAGAGAACCGCGAGACACAGTGGACCCTAGACTTAGGAACTCGATTCCTTCTCAAGGGCTGGTTGTGGCTCAGGTTGGTCATCTGAAGGCTCAGGCTCCTCTACACAGCCCTCAGAGTCTCTCTCCTGTACACAGGTAGATCTCAGCGTCCTTAGAGAGACCCTGGCCCAGGATTTCTCAGTGAACCCCACACAGGAGAGGATGCTGTCATGTTCCTTCCAGAACTCTTTAAGGGTTAAATCTGTATCTGAGACCAACTGGAAGCACAAGTGGCCGCCCTTTGGGTTGTAACTCCACTTTGGCCATAAGTTAAACTAAAATTCCAGTCGTCAGCCCAGTTGTTCATATGTCAGGCTGGCAACCGGGGGCCCTCAGTGAAGGTCAGAAGGAGAACCTTGGAGTTGTGACCACCAGCGAACCAGGGGGAGGCATCCAGTACCCCAGGAGAGAGGGCGGGGCGTCTGCTCAGTCCTGGCCCATCGTGACGTCCCCCTCTCCCTGACAATGGGTCCCAGCCAAGGACTGACCAAGCCCCAGGTGTCTCCTTTGGTCAGCAGGAAATCAAAGACAGTCCCACGTCACCAGCCAGCGTGGCCTCGGCTGGAACAGGAGCAGGTGGCCCTGGGGGACCAGCCCTCTGACCCATGGGGGCCCCAGGGTCCAGGCAGAAGGGGAGCAACCCAGGCTCAGGGTACAAAACTGTGTGGTCATGGTGACACCTGGCATGGTGACCAGCACATGCTTCTTGTCCTGCCTCTTCAGGGTCTGCAGGCTTCTTGCTAGGGACCACAGCCTCGGGACCACAGCCTCGGGCCCACACACCCGCTAGCCACAGCGCCCCCGTGAGTCCTGCAGGTTATGAGCTAGCCCCTCCCTGAGCCCTGGAAGCTGCTGTCGGTTCCCCTACCATCTTCAGATGAGGAAGTGGAGGTCAAGCTGGGGGGACTGAGTTCCCCACATAGTAGGAGTCGGGGCTGGAACTCAGGCTCAGCCAACTCCACTCTGATGCCCTCGCCCTGCCCAGCCACCCCGGAGAAGCCTTGCAGGTAAGGGCTCGAGGTGCATCCTAGGTGATGGTGGGACTGGGAAGCTTCTGGGGCCCCCGGGCGGGCTGAGAGACAGTGGGTGGGGGCAGTGAAGCCGCTCCCACCTGGTCTCCACACCCACTGTCACGCTGACCTCCCGGGGGCCAGCACTGTCAGCCCTGTGGCCCTCTGCAGGTGTCGGCCGGGTCACTCAGGAAGGCGAGGGGCCCAGCACCATGGCTCTCCTCAGCTCTCCAGGTCCTGCCTACGGCCCTCGTATCCCCCGGTCACCTCCACACCAGCCAGGGCAACACACTGCCTCTGGAATCCTCTCTGCTTCACATCTTCATCCCATCTTTCCTCTGCCTTCTAATCTCTGATGTTCTCTATCTGAAGCTCTCAGGTCATAAAAGGGACCCATGTTTGACTACCATTGGGTCAGAACAATCCAGGGGTGACCTCTGGCCACCCCAGCCCACACAGCCCACCTCCTGCACGACGCCTCCGTCTGTCCACCTGCTGTCTGTCCATCCTGCCCCTGGCGTGGCCCTGAAAACTTCCCAGAAGGAGTTTGCAGGGAGCTTTCTGCCTGCAGAGACACCATCCGTGTGATCACAGGCAACTGGCCTTTCCCCGGATGACACGCCAGGGAAGTCCAGCAGGCCACCACCAGACACCAGCTGTGCCTTTCCTGGTCCCATTAAGTCCCTCGACTATGGGGCACCCTTGGGAACTTGGGCAGTGGCCTCCTCCTCAGAGCACCCCCCGTGGGGACGCAGTGTCTCCCTTCACAGCGCCCAGGCCCGGGGCTGGGCCAGAGCCCCTGGAAGATGACTCCAGCAGCACTGTGTGTGCCCAACAACACACCACCCACACTGGCCACCAGAGCATCACCTGGGCAGGCTGGGTGGCAGGGAGCCTGAAGACTACCAGTGCTGCCGGCACCTGGAGGGACAGGTGGATGGCATTTCCATGTGCTCAGCAAGCCGAAGGGACAGACCCCCGCCTGCGCTCTCCCATGGCACCAGCCATGTCCATCGTATGGCTTTTTCTCACCTGAAAAGTCCTACTCTGGGGCAAATCTAACGCCACCTACTTGGAGGAGCCCACTGTGTCCCCAGTGGGAACTTCCTCCTCCTCTGACCCTGAGCTGCTCCGGTACCCAGCAGGGCCCAGTTCTTGCCTTGGATCGATTTCCCTGTGCAGGGCCCACAGCCCCAGCCCTCCTGCATTGGTAGGGTGGTGAAGGGATCTGGGGAGAGGCCAGGCTCCCTGAGTCCAAGGTGGGCGCAGATACGACTTGCACCAGCCTAGGATTCCCAGGACCAGACCACGAGGGGCTGTGCCCCTCCTGACAGCTGCCCCTTTTCATCCTTCCCTGCTCCAGGGCACAGCAGGGCTCAGCATGCCAGGGCCAGGAGGCAGCAACCCACCTGATCCACGCTCTGCTTGGCCTGGGGCTTCTGTCTCCCTGAGCAGGAGCCAGGCTGGAGGGGCCGGTAAGGACCATAAGGACCCCAGAGGGCCAGGGCCTGCAGTGTGGCCTGGAGTGGCGGGGCCACCCAGAGAGAATCCATCCTGTGCTCCTTCCCTCAGCCGTGACCAGCACCAACGCCTGCGAGGAGGCTCCAGCAAGGGAGGGAGCCAGACCCAAGGTGGGTGGGGCACGGGCCAGGCTCCAGAGGACACCCAGTCCTGCTGGGCCTCCGGCTCTGCCGCATGCAGGCCAAGACCGGAAGCGGGTGAAGCAAGGCAGGAGCTATGTGTAGAGCCAATGGGAGCTGGGCAGCACGGGGCAGGAAGGAGGGGCCGACACGAACCTCTCCTCACAGAGAGGCACTGCCGTTGCCAGGTCTCCTAGTGTCTGTGCCCAGTGAATGTGTGCCTGCCTGCAGCCCGGACAATGCCCATGCCAAAGGTCAAGGGGCAGACATGCAAAATCCATCAAAGAGTGAGGCAGAAAAAACCCAGGAAAGCCCGGCCTTACCTTGCTGGATCCCAGCCCTTAGACAGGGAAAATGCCCCCCGGAGTGGAGGTGGGAAATGGGGGGCTCTGTCCCGGATGGCGTCCCGGATGGCGTCTTGGATGGCGTCCGATGGTGTTGTCGAGATGCCGGCCCTGGCCCGAGCCCAGTGCCTGCAGGGTCACGCTGGCTGAAGGGGAGGAGCAGGGCCAGCAGGGAGGGCCCAGTGCTGCCCTCGCAGGAAGGCGAGCAGGTGGTGCCAGGTGACAGCCAAGGCGTCCTGATTGTCACACCAGAGGAGCAGGTGCTGCTCTTCCTCCCTCCCCAGGCCACATCTGACCCCTCCTAACAGTCCCCCCCTTGTGGATGAGGAAACTGAGGCTCGGGTGCGGAAACTTCCTGGCTGAGCTGCTTCACACGGGAGGTGCAGCCTGGCACCAAGCCCACACTGTGCTCTTGCTGGAGCAGGACCCCGTCCCCCCGGCTGTGCCCACAGTGCCCACCTTCCAGGGGACCAGCTGCCGCCCCACCTGGGCAGGTCACATGGGGGGGCCCGCATCTGTGTGCCCAAGGGGAAGCCCAGCTACATGCACACACACGCCCCTGCACACCCGCACACACACGCATGCACACTGGACCCCAAACGAGAGCGCCTGTAGCTTTGGCCCCAAGCACCCATCAGGGCGTCTTCGCCAGGGAGGACCTGAGTTTCCCCTCCGTGCAGACAGGAGGATGGGGACTAACAGCCCCAGGGCCCTCTTCCTTCCTGGGACAGCAGCCCCCAGGTCGAGACGCCCACCAACCCCTGTACCTGCGCTGCCCTTCTGGGGCTCCCAGCACAGGGCTGGCTGTTGTGATGGAGGCCACCCCACATTCCCTGCACCATGGAGAGTCTCGGAGGTGACAGAGGACCACACTCCTGGGAGACTGCCTTCCTCTGGCCTTCCTGGGACCAGGGCAGGACTGAGAAGGAAGGGAAGTGCTGGAGCCGGGCGGGAGCAGGGGTGTCCTCAGGAGCCACACCCGGGAGTCACTTGCTGGGTCACACAGCTTTAGGCTGAGCTGGGCCGCATGGGGTCGTTGATCCCATCTTCTCCCGCTCCCCAGTTCATCAGCACAGAGGCCCCTGGCCACGCCGAGGCTCCTGGCAAGAGTCCAGCAGAGCTCTGGGAGGCCGCGGTGGGGAGGGGCTTCTACGCCAGCCCCACAAATGCACTGCCCAGTTTTCACTCCAGTAGCCAGGAGCCCAGGGTCCCGAAGCCCCCACCCAGGGACACAAACTGGTCTGAACTCTCTCTGCTCCTGAGCTCACTGAAGACGCTGCTGCCCTGGGTGTTTACGGCTACCAGATGGCTTCCCTGCTGGCGGGAAGAAAGGTAGAGGGCGGGAAAGAACACTGCCTCTCCAGCTGAAGAGCACATCGAACCCAACTGACTGCGCTGTTTTCAAAATATAAATAGTGTGCGCAGGATACTTCCGGGAACAAAGAAAAACGGGAGCCCATTGAAGCCGCCTCTCTTGGCTGAACTCTGCAGTCAGGGTGAACGGCAGGGAGAGTCAGGCCGCCCAAGGCTGGCTCCAGGCCCAGCCCCAACATGCCAGCGTTTATCACCTGAAGCAAACCATTTGCTTCCAGTCGGCCCAGATATCTGGTAAAGGGGCCCAGAGTGGCCAGTAAATCAAGGCAGGCAGGGGACTGAAGGCAGGGCAGGCCAGAGAGGAGGCCAGACTCAGCAGGGTGCCAGCAGCTCTCCTGGCATGTGGGGAATCCACAGGGCAAAGGAGGAGGGATGGATGGATGGATGGATGGATGGGTAGATGGATGGATATAGGATGGATGGGAAGATGGATAATGGATGGATGGATGATGGATGGAGAATGGATAAATGGATAGAGGATTATTATGCTTTGTGTCTAGATGTCTGCCCAAAGCCTCGTGCAGTCAGAGGTGGCTGGATCTAGGGTGTGTGATGCTGGGATTAAGGGTGGGTGATTACTAAATTAGTCCACTGATTGGTCTGGCACTGCCTTAATCCTGGTAGTGTAGACAGAATATAAAAGGGGCAGAAAGAAGCTGCTATTGTTACTTGTAGTTTGTCACTTGCTCTTGCTGTCTTCTGACTTCCATGAACTATCTCTCCTCTGAGACACCCCTCTGCCGTGCCACCCTGCCTTGGAGCCAGCTGGCTATGGACTGAAACCTGAAACTTTGGGTGTCAGGTATTTTGTTTTAGCAACTGGAAAAGCAACTAAGACAAGGAGGGATAGGTGGACAGATGGAGGATGGATGGATGGATGAAGGAGCCCATCAAGGAAAGGGTAGGAGAGGCAGTGGCGGGACCATAAAGAGACAGCTGCCACTCTGGGCCCCAGTCCTTGGAGGCCCTCTCCTCACCCAGGCGAAGGCAAAGACCTCCCAGTGTGGCCCGGCCCTGACGGAGGAAATCGCAGAGGAGACAACTGGAGCACCTTGGCAATCCAGGAATACATCCCAGAGGAGGTGTATTAGACAGCGTTTTGGTTTCTGGGCAAAATACCCAACACCCAAAACGTAAGAGAGGAGAGCTTTAATTAGGCTCACAGTTTCTGGGGATTCAGTCTATGGCTGAGTCAGTCCAGTAAGAACACCATGGCAGAAGGATGTGACAGAGCAAGCTGCTCAGTTCATGCCATCCAGGGAGCAGAGCAGGGGAACGGTGTCAGAGAGGTGGGGCCAGGGACCAGGTACAGTCCCCAGGGTCACACCTCCGAGACCACCTGACACACCTTGCAGTGTGCTCTACTAATCCCTTAAGTAGCTCCCAAGCCAACCGAGTTAACATCACGAGTAACAGTCCCAGGAGGTAACAGGAAAGAGAGCACTGAGCCAGGCAAAGGGCAGGATGTCCAGGCTCGTAAGCAGCATCCTGAGGCCCCAGGCGGCAAAGCGGCCTCTGTCCCAATTCGACTCCTGGGGCCAGTCCTTCCTCTGCTGGAGACGCTGGCTGGGTGCTGGGGAGCCAGTCCTGATGCCCCCTCCGAGAGACCGGGGTGCAGCTCGGAGTAGCCCTCCCAAGAGAGCAGACCTCATCCTCTGTGGATGCTGCGTCTTCTCCGGCCCACCCGCCCTCGGGAGAGGGTGCACCCCTTGGCGGCCTCCAGCTGCCCCTGAAGCCAGCTTCACCCCCAGATTGTGGAACTGATGCAGGGTCTGCCTTGCTCATCCCCCACAGCTCACTCGCCTGCCCCGCTCTGCCCGCAGGCCCCCACAGCACCCCAGACTCCCGACCAGGTCAGCCCCATGCTCCGCCAGCAGTGACGATGTGGTCCTCTCCTCCAGCCTGCTTGGCTCTGTTCCCTCAAAGGGATCAGAGAACCAACAGGAGGAGCTCAGATTATAAAACTCTTAAAAGAGGACGCAGGAGCCCATCTTCATGACCTTAGGTTTGACCTTGTCATGAAAAGTGGGCAGCACAAGAAAGGACAGACACACTGGGCTTCATCCAGTGCAAGGCGTCTGCACATCAAAGGACACGGTAGGAGAGAGAAACTACAAGGATGCTTCTGAAAGGACAGAGTCCCTCATAAAGATGCATTCCCAGGCCTTGGCCCAGGACCTGTTGCCCGTTGAAGGGGCAGTACCTTTCCCCCAGTGCCCCCTCGCGGACAGTGTACGGAATGGGCCCTGCCCTTCCACCCAGCTCTTACTGGTAGGACCAGGAGCGCTGAGGCAGCACAGAGCCACATGCTAAGCTAGGAGGAGAGCCCTTAAAACTCGAGGAAGAGCCTCTAAAAAATCCCCACTCAGAGCCCAGTGGAAAATCCCCAAACGCCAGCGCACCCCAGCAACCCTACGAAACCTGGCCCCTTAGTGAATGGGCCAGTCTGATATCTCCGTACAGCTGGGCCCCCAGCTCTTCTCCTTGAACCGAAGTCCCTCCCCGATTTCTCCTCCTCTCCACTACAGCCTCTGTCCTAAGTCTGCACTCCACGCTCTGAGGCAAGGTCCCACCGTCCAGTGTCAGGTATCTGAGAAGGGATTTGCAACCAGCATACATAAAGAACCCATACGACAGTTACACACACAACCCAACTTTAAAATGGCTAAATAAATATTTTTCCAAAGAAAATATAGAAATGGCCAGAGCACATGAAGTGATGCTGGACAGCCTTAGCCACTGGGGAAATGCAAGCGAAAGCACAGGGAGGTGCCTCTCCTCACTAGAACAGCCAGAGTAAGTCAGGTGACAGTAGGCATGGACGAAGATGTGGGGAACACTCATCTACCGCTGATGGGAATGGAAACCAGGCCAGCTGTTCCTCAGCTGGAATCACACGACCCAGCATCCCATGTCTAGGTATATGCTCAAAGGAAATAACATGTGTGCATCCAAAAACATATAAACAGATGCACAGTGCAGCATGTTTCACAGCAGTCAAAAGGTGGAAACAACCCAAAAGTCCATCAAATGGTGAGTGGATAAACAAAGTGTAACATAGCCGTACAATAGGACATGGAGGAATATTATGCAGCCATCTAAAGGAATGGGACCGTGATACATGACACAGCATGGATGGGCCTTCGAGCCTTCTGCTAAATGAAAGAAGCCAGCCTCAAAAGGCCAAATATTAAAAGATTCCATTTACATGAAAAATGCAGAGTAAGGAAATCTGTAAAGACAGAAAGTAGACTAGGGTCCCGGGGTGGGGGGGTAAGATGAGTGGTGGGTAGTGAGTGTGGGGTTTTTTTGAGGTGATTAAAATGTACTAAAATTT